CCATCCATCATCCATCCATCCATCCATCCATCCATCATCCATCCATCTATCCATCCATCCATCATCCATCCATCTATCCATCCATCCATCATCCATCCATCATCCATCCATCATCCATCCATCCATCCATCATCCATCCATCATCCATCCATCCATCATCCATCCATCCATCATCCATCCATCCATCCAAATGTTCAGGTGTGGGCATTTTCTACTTCACCTGGTGTGTATGTGTCTGTGTGAGGGACATCTTTTCTTTCCTTTTTCTCTCTGTTTCAGAGTTATGGGCTCCCTTGCCAAAGAAAGGGGCACTAGCAATAAATCCTTTACCTAACTCCCTACTGTTAGGCAACAGGTGTTAATTGCCTGAAGCCATTGGCTTCTGGCCCCAGAATAACCAAGAATTTAAGAAAGGTAAAAATTACCAAAACTAATCTTCTTTTGCCCCAGCAATCACAACTTCTGCCACCACAACTGCCAAAGCCCCCATCAATACCTTCCAAACCCTACAGATCCCAGGAAGGTCACTGGCACGTCCCAGCCAGGACCTTACACACGTGAACACACACAAATGTCTGAATGCCTTTCTAGCCTAACCACAGTCTCAGTGCTGGCAAGGAAAGACAACCTCACCTGGTGGTAGGACAGACAGAGGAGTTCAGAGCACACAGACACACAAGCTTACCAGATACATCGTGAAAGCTGATGACTTGATTCATGAGGGCAGTGGACAGGATGACTTCGTCAAAGACAGGGACACTGCCGCCCACCATGCCAGTGTTCCCGCCCTGTGGGTTCACAGCCAAGTTCCTCTTATAGCAATGCCTGGGGCAAATATAGTGTGGATAGCAAGCCAGCTATGCCTATACAACTATCCCCAAAGGACATAAGCTGACACTTGTCTCCCAAACCTGATATCCTTTCTAGGTCTTTCTGCTACAGCCTTGACTGGAGCTCTTTCCCAGTATCCCCTGAAGAAGTCTAAGAGAGAGTCCATCCCAAAGCTGTACCTAGGGGAAGGGAGGCTAACATTATCTAAGGTTGTGGAAGTGGTACTCGTGGCCTAATTCTAGTACCTTCAGCGCCCTCTCATAGTGTTTGTAAGAGTGAGCACATATTCTATACCTCCATCACCCTCACCCCTCACCATGAGTTCTGAGCCCGACCCATCAGCCCTTGGGCTATGCCTGTGAAGCATCCGACAACTGGTAGGTATTCTTACAGATGAGGATCCAGAGGAAGGGATGCCCTCGACAACTATCTTCTAATGGGTAGGTATGAAAGTGGCCCATGATGTGGTAAGGTACCCTGTTTTCAGACATCTCCTTACCTAAGAATGTAAGATCTCCTCTTACCTAAGAATCTGGGAGACTTCCTCTGAGGTCTGGGGTCTCAGCAACACCTTACTACAGCCTGTGACAAGAGAACAGACTTGTCAGCCCACGCAGAGGGAAGTGGCTCAGTCACAATCCTTCCTCTCCCCATGCCCACCCTCCACTGGAGCTTATCCGAAAGAATGTCCTCGGTGGCATTTGCTCTTCTTCAGTGAGGTGACCAGCATGGCCACCAGACCCACAGCCACTCGAGTACGGGAGGAAGATGTCAGAGGGTCCTGGGCCTACCTAGGACATATGAAACAGCTGGATCGCTACAGCAACTGGTAGAGCCAATGGCCCCTCCCCATCTGGTCTTGTGGGAGAGAAGATGGTTTCAACATCAATGTGCAGTGAGCTTTGTTGGGCACCTCTGCAGACTTGAGAAACCCTTGAGACTTGGAAACATCCTGGTGTTCCTCAAACTGCGTGTTGGTTTTAACACAGGCTTTCCTTCTTTAACCAATTAGTACAGTGGCTGAAAAGCTGACTCACAGATCTGTCCGTCCTCCTTTTCTTAGGTTCCAGTGGAGAGGGAATTCCCTTCCTGCAGTGTTCTACTCCCTGACACCTGTCCCCCAAACCAAATCTCCTTTCTAGGCTTTTCATGCCAGAGCCGGTTCATGCCTTCTTCACTTCTTACTGCCCTGGTCTTTCTGATGCCCAGTGGCAATTGGGAGCCTCTCTAAGCTTGGGGCAGCATTTGTAACCACAGCCACCCAGGACAGTCAAGCTTCTTTCTGCCTTCCCAGCATCCCCACGAACCCTAAGGCAGTGGTGACTGCAGAAACATTCTGGAGCAGCTCTGTTCTCTCACCATGTCACCTTGAGACTCAAGCCCTACACATCCTCTATCTTTGTGATTCTGAGAGACATAGTGCTTCTCCTCAGAACACCTTTTCTGAGTAGGCTGGCTGTCCTACATCAGGGACGCTGGTCACCAGTGGAATTTCTGCTGGCTGTGTTCAGGCTGTCCAGCCATCCTGCATGAACGAGCTCAGTGCTATGAGTACTGCTGGGGAAGGTGAGCAAGAAATGAAGCCTGCAGTGGGTTTCCCAACAGACATTCGGGGGCCCAGCAAAGAGCCTGCTCACAGCAGGCAGAGTAACAACAGAAAGAGTCCACTCTTGTGATACACGTCGACCCTTCTAAATAGAAACTGATAAAATGAGGACCTAGTAGCTAATGAACTCAACAAAAAACAACCAACAAGGGGCTCAAAACCACCAAGACAGTACAGAGAAATGCCAAACCAAGAGGAAAGTCTAGCTGGAGAGGTCCCAGCCAAGCCAGAGAAAGGCTACCCACAGGGGGCAGGACACCTTCCCCAGGCACAATACAGACATAGGTTCTAGACAAGATAAGGGCTAGAGATGGCTGAGTAGTTAAAAGCAGTTCAGGAGCCTAGAGTTTGGTCCCATAACCCACACTTGGAAGCTCCAGGGGATCTGACGCCACCTTCTGGCGTCACATGTACTGCACCCAAGTGCACAAAAACACACTCACACATAGACATACACATACACATCCCTTTAAAAAAATTCTCCCATTAAGATCATCCTGGACTAAGTGGATCCTATATACACCGACAAGAGTTTCTAGAAGATAGAAGAGGAGGCTGGAGAGGTAATTCAAGGAGTAAGAGCACTTGCTGCTTTTGCAGAGAACCCCTGTTTAATTCGCAGCACCCACATAAGATGGCTCACAATTACCTGAAACGGTAACTCCAGGAGGTCCAATACCCTCTTCTGGCTTCCAAGAGCTAGCTAGCTAGCGCTCTCTCTCTCTCTCTCTCTCTCTCTCTCTCTCTCTCACACACACACACACACACACACACACACACACAAATAAATCCTTTTTTAAAAGACAGAAGAAGAGAAGAAGATGCCCTTTGGTGGTAAACACTAATCCCAGCACTTGGGAAGCAGAGGCAGGTAGATCTCAGTGAGTTTGAGGTCAGCCTGGTCTACAGAGAGTCTCAAGATAGCTGAAGCTGCACAGAGAAACCCTGTCTCAAAAAACAAAAACAAAAAAGAAGAGGCAAGGATAAAGAAAGAAGCAGAAGCTGGAGGGAGGTTACCAGGAACACCTGGGGTCACCAGAAGTTCACAGTGACAGGAAGGACTCTCTCCTATTGAGAACACACTTGCTTTCGGACTCCAGGCTTCTAGAACTGAGAGGGATGCCTTTGGTCAGCTGAGAAGCTGAGTAGATGCAGGCAGCGGTGTTCACAAGCGCTCACTTTAGCAAAGTGCTTCACTTGTTAATCTGCCGATTTTATTCTCAGAAGACCTTAGTGGCCCGGCAGTGGTGGCGCACACCTTTAATCCCAGCACGAGTTCAACGCCAGCCTGGTCTACAGAGTGAGTTCCAGGACAGCCAGGGCTACACAGAGAAACCCTGTCTCGAAAAACCAAACCAAAACAAAACAAAAAAGAAGACCTTAGTAGTGTCATCAAAGGCATGTGAGACAAACGGACAGTGACTGCTCCTTGCCTACGCTGTTTTCCTGCACTTTGATCTCGTACCCCACTGCCCAGGTCCTGACTCACCTCGTACAGTCCTCAGCCAGTCCACATTGCATGCGTGCAGTTGCTCTGGATCTGTGATAACTCTGCCAGGTATGATGCATTCAAATGCAGCCAGGTCTTCCTCAGACACAGTAGAAAACGGCAGCCGTTGCACCGGGTATCGCTCAGGGGTCAGCATTACCTCAGGGCTGCCAGCGGCCACTGAGTAAGCTCTGCAAGCCAAGGGGCTGTACATGGCCTGAGGGCAACCAAGCCACTTCAACCTCACAGAAGCTCCCTGGGTGTAGGTCCTCCTCCATCCTGAAGACGCCCAGAAGAGCCTTGCAGACCATCTGGGCACCAAATGGAGCACCATTGCTCCTGCCCTTGAGAGAGAGGGCGGGGAGGACGTTGAATTTGTGACTCATAAGCAATGAAGCAATGAGAAAGCCCTCACAAAAGCCTCTGCACCACATCTGAAGTCACCTACACGCAGGCGGCTCCAGCTGTGGTTCTCAACCTGTGGGTCGCGACCCCCTGGGATCACGTATCGGATATCCCGCGCATCAGATTTTTACATTGCGATTCACAACAGTAACAAAACTAGTTATGAAGTAACATTGAGAACGTTTTATGGTTGGGGTTCACGGCAACATGAGGAACTATATTAACGGGTCCCAGCGTTAAGGAATGTTGAGAATCACTGGCCTAGAGGAACAGGGTGGCTTGGGGCTGCAGAGGACTAGATTCTCAGGAAGGTTCGGTTCTTAATGTTTCGCCCTGCAGTCTTACAGTCCTGAGACTCCACTGAGTGTATACTTGTGGGCAGTGCTGGCTCTCCTGGGCACTGTATTTTAACTTTTGCACGAAAAGGGACGGTATCCCGGAATTATGTACTCAAAACACCGTGGAAAGGCGAATTTTACATTATACGTAATACTCTGCCACAAGTTTTATAAAACTTGGGTAATCAACAAAAATGGCTTAAAGGAAGAAAGGGAGGGGAATCCGCCCAGGTAAGACACCTCACACTGGTAGCTATCCAGAAGAGGCCGCCATCCACCTGAAGGCTCGCTCTATTGGGCTGCTGCTTCCGCCTTACCTGAGACGGAAAAAACGCAGCACGACTGCGCAAAGCATGCGCATGCGCCATGCGCTGTGACGTCAAGGAGGACCAACTATTTACATTCCCAGCCAACACAGCCCTTGGGCGTAGGTGAGAAGCGCTGCAAGTGGGCTCGCCCCGCCGGCAATCCCGGCTCGCACCTGACCCATGCAATCACTTGACAGGCCACAGCCCGGACTGCACAGACCCATACACCAGCGCCCTCCACCCAGGAACTAGTCAGCCCACTACGCACCCTAGCTTCCGTCCGAGTGCAAAAAACCGAGTCGGCACCCTCACCCTGGTTCCCACCCCTGCACGACCGTAGGACTGGACTGGAGGGGAGGAGCGAGAGACTGCGCATGTATGTCAGCCCGCCCTTCCTACCAGACTCCACCCTGCTGGGGTGTGCTCCGCCCTTCCCAGACCTTCGGCCTTATTTGTGCTCCTGCTGACCCAACCTGAGTCCCCTCAGGTCCCAAAATGGAGAGTATCCTGCTTTGACCAAAATCCGACTCCACGCACTTTCCCCAACTGGCCCCCAAAAATAAGTGGCCACTTCTTCAGTTCACTGTGGCTCCTTCCGCAGGGGCCACTGTCACCCTTAGAAGCTTCTCTCCTCCCCAGGGGTTTCTGTCTCCCTAGGGACTTCTGTCGATCCTATGAATCTCTGCTCTCTTCTTTCTGTCTCCCCTGGGCTTCCGTCTCACCTAGGGCTACTGGTCTATTAGCAGACACTACTCCAAAAGCCCAACCCTCAAAGAAACAACAAAGGTTCGAGGCTGGGAGTTAACTATTGGGACCCACCGAGGCCAGCCCAGCTCTACAGAGCATCCCTGACCTCTTGGGGCCAGCGCCAGCCACCCACTTCTCAAGCAGTTGTCTCAGCTCTGCAGTACCTTATGGCAACTCCAAGGCACGGAGCAGCAGCCCAGCAGTAGTTTCCTGGGCTCAGTTTGGGTGATACTGTCTCCCTTCAACTCTCAGCCCTAGGTAACAGGTAATTGCTGTTTCTTGCAATTTTTCTGTTACTTCAGCATTCCCCCCAACCCCCGCCGCTATATTTAGCGATAAATAACCCCAGTAGTTTCCATTTTGCTGGCTGGACAGACCTGGTATCTGAAACAGGGTCCATCTCCCGGTTTCCTGGGGCAGCTCCAGAAACTGTGACTTCTTGTAGCTTCCCACTCCCACTTCCCATTGAGGAGCAAGCCTGGAAGTACATTCCATAAGATGTTAAGATACTTTAGAGTTCTATACCAGGAAGAGCAGGGGCTCCTGAAGCTGAGGCAAGAACAGAAGGCTAGTACTTTGACAACTAAAAGCCAAGGCACGGTTGGTAGTCCTTGCGAACTGGATAAAACAATATGCTGGACAGTGATGGTACATGCCTTTAATCCCAGCACTTGGGAGGCAGAGGCAGGCAGATCTCTCAGAGTTCAAGGCCAGCCTGGTCTACAGAGCAAGTTCCAGGACAGCCAGAGCTACACAGAGAAACCAAAAAGAAAAAAGAATGCAGCATTTAGGGGTCAATAGCTACATGCCATGTGTTGGGAGGGGGGTGGATCAAGTATGGCTGTGCCTTCAGAAGAGCAATTCCCTCCCTCGGGTCTGATCACCCCCCCAGGTTTATCAGGCAGGGGCATTGGGATACAGTTAACACATCACCTTGGCATTGTCCAGGTCCAAGACACAACTGCATTTGGGTTCCTATACTGATTGGAAGGACATTCCAGAGGCTTCTACTAGGCCCTTTCTACTAGGTTGGCCCATATTCCATAGGCTTCTAAGAGTATTTAGAAGTTATCAAGAATGTCAATGTGCTAGATAGCTCTATGTCAACTTGACACAAGCTCGAGTTATCTGGAAGGAGGGAGCCTCGGTTGAGAAAATACCTCCATATGATCCCACTATAAGGCATTTTCTTAATTAGTGATTGATTAGAGAGGATCCAGCCCATTATGGATGGTGTCATCCCTGGGCTGGTGATCCTGGATTTTGTAAGAAAGCAGACTGAGCAAGCCATGGAAGCAAGCCAGTAAGCAGTGTCCCTCTATGGCCTCTGCATCAGCTCCTGCCTCCAGGATCCTGCCCTATTTGAGTTTCTGTCCTAACTTCCTTTGGTGATGAACAGTGATGTGGAACTGTCTCCAAGGTGCTTCTGGTCATGGTTTTTCATCACAGTAATAGTAACCCTAAGACAGTCAGTTACAGGCTCAGGAAAGACACCCAGAGGGTGTTTGGTCCTTTTATACACCCAGCACCTGATCACCAAAGCCAACAGCATCTTTTTTTTTTTTTTTTTTTTTTTTTTTTGGTTTTTTGGTTTTTTCGAGACAGGGTTTCTCTGTGTAGTCCTGGCTGTCCTGGAACAAACTCTGTAGACCAGGCTGGCCTCGAACTCAGAAATCCGCCTGCCTCTGCCTCCCAAGTGCTGGGATTAAAGGTGTGCGCCACCACCACCTGGTGCCAACAGCATATTGGACCCTTGGGATTAGTTACAACTCAGAGCCCATCAAGATCAGCTGTCTCTCACCTATCCACCACTCAAAGAACTGGACTTTCCCTTAACTTTCACCCTGGGAAGTGACTTCTAATACCCTGAAATATGCAGTCTTAGAGCCAATATGGGGCCACAAGACCCTTCCCCTAAAACCACAGCCTCTGACAAAGTATTTCCCATGATGGGTGAGAAGCCATGCTGACCATGATAATTCAGCACTGTCCAAGGAAATGTCTATGACAACTAAGTAATGTATATGGCCAGATTTGCATGTGGAAGGCCTAACCCCTAACATAACTGTTTGGGGCAGAGCCTACATGCCTGTAATTAAGGGTAAGCAGGGCCTTATGGCTGGGACCTTTGGGATCTGTTTTAAAGAAACACTGGGGACTGGGATGTAGCTCAGTTGGTAGAGTACCTGCCTAGCATGCTCAAAGTCCTGTATCTCACTACACAGGGCAGCCTGGCTATCAACTAGCTATATAGACTAGGCTACCTAAAGCTCACAGAGATCAACCTGTCTGATCTCCCAGGTATTGGGATTTCAGGCGTTTGGTCTAAGAGAGAATTCCAGGATAGCCATGGCTACAAAATGAGATAAATAGTAGAGAATTCCCTTCCTACCTAGCTCCACACGTACTGTCACAAGAACGCACACTGAGAAGGAAGCAAGCTACATAAAGCCCTTAGCAGGTATCAACCTTGCTTGCACCTTGTTTTCAAACCTTCAGAACTGTGGGAGATAAATTTTGCTAAGCACTCAGTTTAGAGCCTTTTTGTGTATGTGTGTGGAAACTACCCGACCAGTCTAGGATGTTCTCAAAGGGAACGTTTGCTAATGTTCTCAAGAATCCCAAGTCTAGGTTCCCACACCAGGGAAGACCCAGTACTGCTTTCCTTCATATTGCTGGGGACGAGCCTAGGGTCTTGCACATGTCAGGCAAGTGTTCTACCACTGAGACACATCCCCAGCCCCTCAGTACTGTACTACTAAGATGCTGTACTACTTTATAAAGTAGTCTTGGTACTCCCATTCACGCATATATCTTCCTTAGGAGCCTGGAAACCCAGCACTGGCTACTGACCTCCCTCAATACCCAATCAAAACCAAATTCAGGGTCCTAGGTCCATAAAGTCCCTCAGTGGAGCCCTTGACTTTGAGTAAATGAACATGAGATACACTCACCTCTGACACAGCACATGGATCTACATGTCTGTTTTCAAAATGATCTACTTTCAAATATTTCTTCCCAAAAATACTTTATTTATTAAACAATATATCCATAATCCATGATCCAAAAATACAGATATACATCTTTACATTATTTAATAAAAAGATTTACAATAGTATCTCTCCTTTACAAAGGGGACATAGGTAATAATTCCTTGAAAATAAAATGTGACATTCATGTTAAAGCTGGATCATCCTGATGGATGGAGTGTGGTGAAGACCAAACACCACAGCACATTCTGAGGGAAAAGACATTTCTTAGACCTCCCCTACTTTAAAGCTCCTCTCAGCATAGGCAGCGAAGACCAATCTCTGTTCACAGAAAACAGGGTTTCAAAGCCTGAAACAAATGTTCCTCACTGTTAGATTTCAAACCCTGAAGACCTACCTAACCTCCCAGCCCCCGAAGGGCCAACCTTGGCACCACGTCCACATGGGAGGAGTTGCTGTCTGGACGGTGTTATTGCTTAAAGCATTCCCGCCAAGGCCTTCTGGGGACAGGTGAGGGATAGAAGGCAAGAAGCTGTATACACAGGAGCAAGCAGGTGCTCACTTCCCCAGGCTTCCACAAACCCTCACACCACAGGGCTCTTCACTGCAGAGTGCAAGACACGGCTGGTAGCCTGCCTCCTCCTGACCCCACCTACTGGATAGGTGAGTGGTCAGTGCTGCTTGGACCATCACACTACTAACATGTTCACAGATCCGGGGGCTCAGTTTTTTATTAATTCATCATGCTTCTCCTCTAAGAAATTATTGATAATCTGCACAGAAAACTAGGAAGATGACTCCTCTCCTCTCAGCAAAACACTCACGTACTTACAAGGGGAATTACACAGGGAGGACTCAGCCCTGGCTCAGGCAAAGCAGCTGCCAGAGTGACCTGTGGGGGTCACCCTACCCACTCTTTTTATGAAGCTTGGATAGCTCAAGAGCCAGATCTCGACAGGCAGGCATGAATGAGAGTCTGGTCCAACGATGGAGACACTAGGTCTTCTGGAACAGGGCTGAGTGGTGTGCACATGGCTTCTCAGCACCCAAGGCAGAGCTGGTGCTCGGACTTTTCCTTGAGTTTCCTCCTTGCTCACACATAGTAACAGTGGGAACAAGCCTTCCGTCAGAGTACTAACAATGACTCAAAAGATTTTCCTTTCTGCTCCCCCTTCCACCCACCCACCCACACCCGTTTTGTTGCCAGGGCATCACTTTTGGAAGGCAGCTTTGTTCGCCTGCATGCAGCCAATGACACACTGAGCCTCACACTTGTTAGGCAAATTTCTCACCATTGAGTTAAATCCCCAAACTCACGAAGTCTGTTTTTTTTCCAAGCAGTATGCAGCTTATTTTCATGACATTATAACTGTCAAAAAGAAAAAGCAGACAGTCATAGAAACTTACAAAATAAATAAGAGTCAGAGCCAATATGTAGGATGGCCTCAGGTAGAAGAGCTCAGGGGAAAAGCCAGCATGACCTCAGGAAGCCAGAAGATGAGCTCATCCAGCCTCTAACACCTCCACCAGTGAACACCACTTCTTTCTGATCATCAAAGGACTCAGCTGCCTCAGGCTCAGTATTAACCCAGCTTCTAAGGCATCGTCAGACAAGATCTGATTAAAAACTTCCTGTACTTACAGAAATTGTAAAAGGGGGTCCAGACATGAGGGCACACATCTGTAATCTCAACATTTCCTGGCTATAGCAGGATGACTGCAAGTTCAAAGCTAGTCTTTTACATAATAAAACCCTGCCTCCCAATAAATAAATAAATAATCTAAAATTTAAGATTAAAAGGAAACATGAGGCCTAACCCCTAGCACTGAAGAAAGAAAACAAATGGTAAAAGAGTAAAGAAAAGGCTGGGGTGTGACTCGATCTGCAGAATGCCTGCCTAATGCACAGAGTTCTAGGTTGGAGCTGGCAGCAGCGGTGGGGCATGCCTCTAGTCCCAGTACTTGGAAGGCAGAGGCAGGAGAATCTCTGAGTTTGAGGTCAGCCTGGTCTACAGAGTACCAGGACAACCAGGGCTACACAGAGAACGCCTGTCTTGAGAAACCAAAGTAAAAAAAGTTCTGGGTTTGGTCCCTAACATTGCAAAACCAGACCTATTGGTGCATACGTGTAACTTCAGCATTTGGGAGGTGAAGGAAGATCAAAAGATCGACATTACTCTCAGCAACATTGTAAGTTCAAAGCCTGCCTAGGATACATGAGATCTAGTCTTTATAGGGGGAAAAAAAAGGAAAAAACTTCCTGTCATTTACCCTCATAACCAACACTTAAAGGCTAAGTTATGTCTATTTAATCTGACCCTGAGAGGGGTCCCCAAGAAGAATGCCAGCCCCATTCCCAAAGCTCTTCCTAGCCTAGAGACAAACTTGGGCAATTGCCTATCAACTGCAGCAAACTTGCCTGGTACCTACTGCCCAGGAAAGGTCAACATGGACCAACTTATTCAGTAGCACAAACACAGACACTCCTGTCCAGGAGGAACCTGACCATGATGACATGGGATGGGCAGAGACAACTCCCTTCTGCTTTGTTTGTGGCCATCATAAGAAAACAATGTGCCTGTTGTTATATAAAAAGTAGGCCTCTCCTTACATTAGAAATTGCATAACCCAGCTGTCTTGCAGGTCTTTTTCTGAGGCAAGGCCAAGAACCGGTTGGGCTCTCTTAATTCTTCTCCAAGAGCCTGAGTTACTTAAGAACATGCCAGAGGATTCTAAGTCAACAGTAGCTCAAGACCCTGTCACACTAAAGGAACCACCACAGATGCAGCTCACCAGGCCCTGTGTATTCAAGACAGTTTCAACACTGGTTTTGTGGACAGTGGTTAAACAAAGAGTACACTCTAGTTTCCTACCTTCATTCCAGAACTGCTATAGGGCACACAAAATCACAAATCATGTCACATAATCATAGTCCCTTGAACATCAGCTGCTGGTCTAGTGGGATGCGGCACAGCAGAGATCTACAATCAGCTCACAGTAGACTGACTCACTTCATAGACACACGGACCCATGACCTTCATGCTAGTACAATAATTTCATCTTCACAGTAAAAAAAATAGGCGGGAATCCCCAGAGAGCAGGAAGCTCAGCCTGGCTGGCTGTCCGCTGTTGGGCAGTGCTGGCTGTGGTAACTGACAGTCCGAGGCTAATGGAAGCTCAATCTCCAGAGAAGGCTGGAAGTTCACAGGAAAAGGTGGTACACAAGAAAACGGAGGACTCTTCCACCAGGGAAGCACCCCCGGTCCCTTTCAGACACATCAGAGGGATCGTGGCCAAGAGTCCCTGGTCTCCAGTCAGGGTCAGAGCACAGCACAGGGCAGTGCCTGATAATACTTTACTCACAGAGCAATAGGTGTGCTGCCACAGACAGTCCTGGAAACCGTGGACACTCAGGGCTGACCCTCCCGTCACAAAGCAGTGGCAGTGCACAGATTAAAATATGTCCACCCTGCACCATGCACTTTGCCTACAGCCCAAACTGATACACATCACTGGTGGTGTGGCCACTCCCAGTGCTGGGAGGTTGCGGGATGGGGGAGCCTGCTCCTAAAGTCACTGTGGCAAGTACCTAGGAGATTGTTCTGTGCAAATGGTGCAGCGGCTTCTTGTTTTAGGAAACATCCAAAATTACAACTGGCCACTGAGTTATTAAATATCAGTCGAAATAAGGTAGTTTTAAAATGAAAGATAATATTGCAACATGAGTGAGGAGATATATTAGCTTGCTCTTCGGTCTGGCACAGCAGCCTCTTCTTTACTTCTTCTTCCTCTTTTCCTGAACACATCGTGGACAAAACCTGTGACGAGAAAGGCACTGGGATCATCTTTTCTCCTAACACACAGGACACCCAGGTACACTTCCTGCATATCGCAGTGTAGCTGGACTCTGGTAACAAAATGACAGAGAACAGCTATCTCAAGTACGAGGTGCTGTCTTTCCTCAGGGGAAAGTCAACATGTGAACTAGTGGTTAGAGCATATCTGAAGCTGACTAACAATACACCTCAGCACAGCCTTAGGATCAAGTTGATAAGGCTGGTCATAACAGGAGGTGTCTACTATAGAGTTGACACCAATAGTAGCTGGCTGGCAGATTGGACATACTCAAGACCACATGTACAGATACAGGCCCAGTAAGCCAGGGAATAACAGTTCCTGGCATGGCGGCACTGGGCCCTGGAGCCTGTATGGGTCAGACAGGTCACTCAGTGCTATGGTTCAAGCACACAGGTCAAGCACACATCAGAGACTCAGTGTTCATGGGCACTCAAGAACGTAATAGCCACTCATGATCCAAACGGACATTCTATTAAGTTCCCCATGTGGGAGACACCTCTAACACACGTAACAGCTAACATCGCTTCCCTCTGTACTGAGAAGCTCTGAGCACCTAGGCCTGTACTACAGTGACTGTGTCAGTCAAAGCTGTGTGTCCCTCCAAGGAAGCCCATTCAGGTAATCTACAGAAAGACTGCACTGGAACCTCATTCCCCGGTTCTTCTGTCTGGCTTTGGCCCAACACATTAGGCAGCTGTTAGGCTGCCAGACTCTCAGAGGGTGCACCCCAACAGCTTTGCCAATGCAGTCGGACACCCCCACCTGAATATCCTACAAACAACTCACCGCATCTAACTTGAGCTCAAAGGCAGATCCCATGCCTCACAACTCCTTCTTTTCCTTTCCTCAGGAGAGTAACCACCATTCATCGCAGCCCAGCCACATGCCCACTGCCACACAGCCCAGTGACACACCTGCTCTCTCATGCCCACTGCCACACAGCCCAGCCAACTCCCACAGCCAAAGGACCTGCCATATGGTTCTTGTAACATGAGGTAAGAAGCCATGTGGAGTGGTTTGTAATCCCAGAGCTCTGTGACACACGCAGTAAAGCCAGCAGCAAGAGCACCTGTACAAACCCAGAAGTGGGATTACACTCACACAGCACACACGTCGGCAGGGCACTGACCAAAGCCTTTGTGGCCGAGCATGCACTCGCCTCTCCCGGCTGACTAACTGGTCACAGGCTGATCTGCAAACTGAGAATGCTACCATGAGACGTTCCCAGCGCTCCTCTGAAAAGGGAACAGTTCCTACTATTTCATTTTAAGAGTATGCATCCATATTTAACTCCAGTCAACAAAACCAGGTTCTCTATCAAATAAGACCTTGTGACATCTTGAAGAGTAGCCTACTGCTGAGCAGATGTAGGACAAGAACGGGAGTGCACAAGCCTCCTGCGCGGACTCCTGCGCATTCTGAGACCCGAGGGAGCATGCTGATTCCACAGCTGATTCTCCTGTCCCTTACAGTTCTCATTTCCCCTAGAGACAGAAGCCTTATCTCCTTGGCTTCATTTAAAACTCACCTCTCCCAATCTGCAGCTAGAAGGGAACATAGTTTAGCAACAGAGCCTGGCCTGACATCACACACCAGGATGGAGGGAAGGAGCCCAAACAGCTCTTCTTCAGAGAGTACCAGTATAAATACCATATACACCTGGGCAGCAGATGTTTACCACCCCCACGGCCCTCCCCAGCCAGGACCAATGCTGCAGAAATATGGAGACCTACGAGGCCCAGGGCACCGGGCACACTTGCCCAGGCTGCAGTCACCCCATACTAACCACTTTCCTTTGGGCTTTGTGGTGAGATCCACGCAGGCAAAGTGAAACCACTCAATGGGACACTGTAAAGCAAGGAAAAAGCCTGTGTCACACCATGCATGCTACATGGTAAACACAGAAAGGCCAACAACCACCCATCTCTACATTTGTCCCTGGGTATATGTATCCTTCATGATCCACTCACATCCGGATTGTCACAGCCGATCATCTCCCCGTAGGACACCTGGTGGCACAAGCAGTATGTAGGCTCATTCGGATCCACAGGCATGTCCAGCACATCAGAGGGGTGCACAGATAGGATACTGTCAGTAAACTCAGACCTGACAGGAAAGGAAGAATCTGATAACGAAAGGGCACCAGGAGGCAGCAGGAAACAGCATACAAGGCCACACTGTAGAAAGACACATGCAGCCTTTCCACCAGTGGCCCAGGGCTCCTTTACCCTGGAACGAAGGATGTTTACAGTTTCCAAGAAAACAATCTACAATGACTCTGAGCTAATGATCGTTCATAAACAAACTTCCAATTTTCTTGTTACTAGAACCTGGGAACATTCCTAATACCTATCACTGAGGTACACACTCCAAACCTTCCTGCCAAATCTCTCCTAAGAATTATAATGAGAATAATATGGCATGCTAACGACACATTGAAGAGATTCCCTTGGACTATTACCAGGCACACTCCTTGGGGCAGCAGCAAACAGCAAACAGAAAGCACACTACCCTCACACCAGCAGAGGCCCCAGAGGTAGACAGTGGGGTCTGAGATTACTCAGAACTCACTATAACAGCCAACGCTGTCTACTGGGAACACAGACTCCTCCAACAGACAAGGCTGCTTTCTCTGGGACCACCTTCTGTGTTTGCTGCCATTTTCTGGTAGGGACATGGACCCTGGTCAGTAGACAGCTAACATTAGAGAAGGGTCTATTCGTGTCTCACCCAAGTCTGGCCTAAGGGTTGAGGCATTCACCAGCCCGCTACAACCAACAGATTTCCCCTTGTCCCATGAGAAGGGACAGTGTATCCTCTGCACCTACCCAGGTATCCTTACCCCCAAAATACACTGGCAGCCCTTCTTAGCCTCCCTTGGGTTCCCCGTATCTAGCCATTAACCTCACCTAGCTGCCCACCAGGGTACCAAGAGCCAGTATGGTATACACACTGCTCTGCTCGCTCCCTAATGCCTGCAGCTGCCTCTGCGTCTCTGACCAGTAGCCTACTGAGACTCCTACACCTGTAACTGCTGCCTACTTGGTCCAGCACCACCCTTCACTGTAGCACTGGACATTAAACTTACTCTTTACTTACTCAAATAACTGTAAACTTTCAGCAGTCTGACGGTATAGTCCCTATACCTGTATCACCACTGTCCCTACCTACCCCTACTTGTACAGTGATAAATGAATGTGGTCAGTCCCCATGAAGGCGAATGGCAAATGGATGGCATGGCACAGCGGCCTGGGCTCCTTGCCTGTTAATTTCCAAATGTCCCTGGGCCTTTGCAGTTACTGCAGATACGTGTGGGTGTGTACATTCCAGCCCAGCCCGCGGGGCTCTAGAAGTGGGGCCTCTCCATAGCAGGGAACCCATGCCTCCACTCATCTGTGTCTTTGAATAGAAATGTCACAAGAACATACATGCCCAAGTCCGAGTGCTCTACAATATTGTTTTTAAGCAACTCCCAAGAGGTCCTTCAAGCAGGAAACTTTACTAGAGACCTATGACACTCTGTGCCTCGCCTCCTGGCCTCGCCTCCTAGCCTCGCCTCCTAGCCTCGGTGGTCTCTCCATGGCCCTACTGTCAGTAGACACCATGCAGCCTCCTCTAAGGCGAGTGTGCCGGTGGCTCAAGTCTACTGGCTACATATGTACTTTCCCATAGGAAGCTCCAGCCAACAGTCCCAGACATTCAGCTATCATGTGACCTAGAGCTCAAAATCTCCAGTTTCAGTTAGTCAGGTATTGGGTCACCCATCTTTAAGTCAGCACTTGGAAAGCTGGGGCAAGAGGATCCCAAGTTCAAAGCCAGCCTTAACACTGAAGGAAGTTCAAGGCCAGCTTATACATACTAGGACCCTGTCTCTCAAAGAGAAAACAAAGAAACAGAAGAGAGCACAAGAGGATGAGAAGACAACCTCAGAAGTGGGACCCACAGGTAATCCCTGTTCCTTGGACATGTGACTTGCTCTGGCTCTTGACTAGGTAAGCTTTCCTCCCCAGATGTGGCCAGGAAGCTTGCAATAGACATGACTACCCATGTGATTCCCTAACAATACAGGCTGCCCAGAAGGGACTGGCTGCTTATCCAAGCTTTAGAATAAGGGACTACAGAAGAAACTGACCCCTTTGTCCCCACATGTAGGCCCTGACTTGCCAGAAAACACGGCCCTGGGGCAGCTAAGGAGCTGACACTGACCTTAGCTTATAGGACCCCAGGTGGTCTGACAGTCCTAGGAAAGTAACTCCATGATACCCATCATCTGGCCAAGTGGTCACTGAGCCACAGGAACCTGACTGAGCACTGTTCCAAGTCCCCCATGAAAAATGACAGCTATCCCCAAGCTGGAACTGAAATATTTAGCCCATCTCATCTAGGTCCTGATAGGGACCAGGACTATGCAGAACTCCAGGTTAGCAACAGGCAAGTGAAAGATTCAGTTCTGAAGTCACGCCAAGCTACCACCCTGACCCAGCAAGGCCAGGGTTTCCATGATGCTTGCTGTCTCTGGATGCCTGTTCTGTGGAAGCTGCTCTGTGAATCAGATGTCAAGGTCTGACCACACCCTTTGTTCCAGCAGTCTGCTCTGTCTGAACACATGGAAACTGGGAGAGTGTCTGAACTGCCATTGAGGGACAATATAAAGTCAATGCAGAGAAGGTGCCTGTCACCATCTAGCCACCACAGCAGCCGGCCCAGCAAATGGGCCTGAAAGCAGTGACTGTCTCCTAAGCATCAGGTATAACATGGTGGCTCCGGTCAAAGGAGAAACTGAACAGCTAGCCTCGATCTGTGTTTTTAGGAGCAGTTATAATGCCCGAGCCTTAGGAGGATGCCAGCCTGTGGGAACTGGTCTCCCCACCAGCTAGAAGCCCTCTTCTGGCTTCTCATGCTGAGGGCGCTCTGTGAAACACTCAGTAAAGCCAGCAGCAAGAATGCCTGTACAAACCCAGAAGCAGCAGAGCCACAGAGCCTCTGGGTTCTGGGAAGGGGCAGACATCACACTGCCACCCAAAGCTCAAAACCACCTCTCATAGGCAGAAGGACACTGGAGTAACAAAGCTGGGAGATCTGCAGTGGGAGAGGGCTTTCTCCATCTACTGGATTTGGCAGGACTGATGGCCCCGATACCAACATGACACTTTAGGACCTACATGTGGCAGCCATCGACACTCAGGACATGTACCGAATGTGGGAACTCAATGAGCTACAAAGGCAGAGTGACCATTCCCTCAGCTCTGGAATCTGTGAGACCAGGGATTGTCTTCACACCCAGTCTCCCCTCAACCCAGAAGCAGTATGGGCAGTATGAACCGGAGGCAAGAAAGGCGACTGCAATCGTGGGCAACCTGTGGGAAACAAGAACTCCCAATTCAGAGCCAGGGCAGGTTCCCACAGTCCCTGACGGAGGACGTGTGGGAGGCAAACGCCGGCTCAGTGTGTCTGAACTAGAAAGAAGACATCACCCTGAGATCAGACAGTCACTCCGCAGCTTTATCTACAGTCACACAAGTCATTTTAAAAGAAAGCACTGGGCGGTGGCGCAACCTTTAATCCCAGCACTCGGAAGGCAGAGGCACGCAGATCTCCATGAGTTCGAGGCCACCCTGGTCTACAGAGCAAGTTCCAGGACAGCCAGGGCTACACAGAGAAACCTTGTTTCAAAAACCAACAAGCAACCCAAAGCCTCTTACCCGCTTTTCTGCTTCTTTCTCTTTGGGGTATCCTCTTCTGATGTCCTCCTACCTCGGCCTCGGGAGCTTCTTTTTTCTTTCTGACTCCGACCTTCTGAAGAACAAAGACCCCATTATTCTCACAGAACAGACCAACGTGGAGCAAGACTCACCCAGGTTCATTTACAATTGTGTTCCTAACATTTAGACAAGAGCATTCAAAACTGCAATCACTAGTAAACAGAATGTCAGCCAACTTGCTTTTCAAGCTCCGTGGTCCAGTGCTTTCAAAGTCACTTCCATCCATCCTATCCTTCAGATCAGCCTCAAAACGTGCCAGGTCAGCATCAAGCCTTCGGATGTGTTTATCCACCTGCAAAAGGACACTTTAAAATCTGACTTTAGAGTAAAAAGAAGGCCAAGGATTCAGCTTGGTAGCTCAGCCCTTGCTTCTATGCAAAGGCCCTGGATTAGATCTCCCAGGACCTCAAGGAAACACAAACAAACAAAACATGGCTTTACCAACGAGTAAGACAAACAACCCCCTCCCCAAAAAACAAAATCATGGGAAGAGGTCCAGATGAAGACCCCCAGTGTGTCCTCTTTCTAGGTGCTCGAAACTCCTACTCTAGATAGACATTCCCATACACCTTATACATTCCCACACACCCACACATCCATATACCCTCACACACTCTCATACACCCTCACACACTCCATACACCCTCACACACTCTCATACACCCTCACACACTCTCATACACCCTCACAACTCCATACACCCTCACACACTCTCATACACCCTCACACACTCCATACACCCTCACACACTCCATACACCCTCACACACTCCATACACCCTAACACACTCTCAT